ATTCCACACTCACCCCTTACTTTCCCTTAACTTGCCTTCATCTTCCTTCGCTTCGTCTTCTCTTTCCATTTTGCTCTGTGTTTATCCCCTCCTACTTCTCTCTCTCTCTCTCTCTCTCTCTCTCTCTCTCTCTCTCTCTCTCTCACAGAGCACATGGGGATGTGGGCAGCTCACAATCAACTTCATCAAAAGCGAGAAAGCTCTGCAAGGTCCCATGCCTTCTGTCTGCCAACAGACCAAATTTCACCAAAAAAACTCGGGCAGAAAAAAAACAAAAAAAACAAAAAGCTTCTGGGGTGCTACACCATGTCCTCTTGACTTTCTGCTCTTGGCATTGCCGATACTCGTACTCGTGGCTATTATCATCACCCCTGAAGCTTCTTTTTTTTGCTGCCTGGGTTTTGGTGGCAGGGGTGATAATAATAGCCGCAAGGTGTTGTCCTCCTCCTTCACCTTGCGGGTATTATTATCACCCCTGCCATCATAAATAGCTTGTTGAGATCCAAATACACAAATAAGGAATGGGCTCGTCAAACCCGCATTGACATTAGGTGGCCATGTCGCGAGTTGGTGATCACAACGCTTGGGGAGGGGTGTACAATTGGAGGTGTGCAATCTCCCTGTCCCATCTCTGCACAACAACATAGATAACGACTTCCACTGGACCTAGATGAAAGTTTTTCCCTTTTGTTCACACCATCGACATCTCAAAACTGCCTTATGTATGTGGAGATATCACACCAAAAAAACAGACAAAGAGCATGCAATACAAGTCTATGTAGACGATACAGCCTCTGCGTAAACATGTCTTGCCTGACAAAGAGGGCTCGCACCCCACTTCACCATATAGTTAAACTGTTAAAGTAATCCAAGTGTTTGCTATCACTCAGCTTTGATATATTGTGGCGAGCAGTGGGCGCAAGGAGGAGGAGGGAGGCTGAGAGGGAGTGAGGTGAGTGTATACACGCACTCACACAACCAGACTCTGACGCAGAGCTTGACAGGGTGTACGATGAGGGACGCCCAGAGAAAAGAATATACCCGCAGCAACTCAATGTTCCAAGTTCACAACAAAAACCTACCGTCTTCACCTCAACACAATGCCCGGTCATTATCGCTGCATCTGGACCGAAAGTTGGGCCAAATACAGCTATAACGACTGGGCGTTCGGTTTGGGTGAAGACTGTAGTAAACATCAGAAAGATGGGTATCAGCATAGAAAGACGAATAATTGATGGGTACCAAATTGGCTAAAATACTAGAAGGTTGATGCAAAGTGTTCCACCAATTTACAGAGAATTTAATTATTGCCATTTATTGGTATATTTAATATTTATGAGACCTGTACAAACAAAAAGAGAAGCTACATCTGCAGAAAAAAAAATAGAAAACGTAGTGCACTGCACCTAAGTAGATAAATATTAAATACTAAATAGCAGTATTAATACGGAAGTCGCACCGGAATGGTCTCAAACAGAGTACAGCGGAAGATCATCCGCCTGTGCGTGGAAATGGTACTAACACCTGGGACCAGCCTCACGGCTAGGCTGGGGTCAGGAGGGGTACATACGAAATCAGTTGGCGCCAAGAGGGAGGGAAATGTGAAAAGCGTCGGCACCAAGGACAGTGGGCGAAAATAAGTGTCTGGTTCCAGGCATGATGAGGTCCACGGATCGAGCCGGATTGAGCCGCCGCCGTCAGATCCGTAACATCTGAAGCGAGAGGAATAATGGGAACTCGATTCGGAAATCTCCAGTGGCTATAACTTACAGCAGCTACGATGTGAGCAACAGCAATATGGATACGTACAACGGTACAACAAATATAAAAAACACGAGCATGCAAACTAAGATTGTTTTTTTCAGCAATATACTTGAATCTTGATAATGACACAAAGCTGATGAAACAATTTTCAAATTTCAACATGATCATTTAATTCTGAAGTTGAGATTCTTAAGAACTAACCCACAAAAAAGGAATTGGAAATTTCAAATTTGTGCCACGATCTGTGCTAATTCTAAATGGGATCGAGAATCTGCACGATCTGTCATCTTTTGGAAGTGAAAATCGAGGGAAGGAGGTGCATAATCTCCCTCCCTCCCTCCCTCCCTCCCTCTATATCTCTCGGGAAGGACGTGCATAATCTCCCTCCCTCTCCCTCCCTCCCTCTCTCTCTCTCTCTCTCTCTCTCTCTCTCTC